TGAGACAGGGTTTCTCTGTGCAACAGGTGTAACAGCCCTGGCTATCCTGGAACTCACGCCTTAGACCAGGCTGGCCTCGAACTCACAGAGATCTGCCTGCCTCTGCTTCCCTAGTGCTGGGACTAAAGGTGTGCACCACCACCGCCCAGTTTAGAGCTCCACTTTGTGTTTTCTAGTTCTACCTCTTTTACAGCAGTGCTCCTGCCATTTCTCCCATGAGACCTTGAATTCCCAGGTCATACTGGTGTGTGTGTGTGCAACCGCTCCCAAGGACCACGATCGCTGTCCGCCTTAGAGTTCTGTTAGTCAGTCACAAGCACTCTGCTGGGGAGTGAGCTTTTTAGGTCAGGGAGGCAGCTCTTTGTGTTCTCCCTGGCACCTAGCAGATCCTATACTTGCTGAACTGAATATTCACTGGAGAAAAAGCATGTGAAGGTTTTCCGTAGTACAAATGGATTTGTACACAATTCCCCACACCTTCTGTTTGACCACTGGATACGTGTGAGGGGGAGCTGGTCAAAGTCGGGGGTACAGTCTGAATCCGTGAATCCATTAAACAAAGAAGAAGAAAAAAAACGCCAAAACCCTAACGGTCCCGTGTGAGAACATACCCCTGAGCCGGACCTCATTAGCGACATCTGACAACCAACTGGGCCACCAGCCAGGGTCCCAACTCTTAATGATACGGGCTCACTTTAGAATCAGGTTCATTTTTTTTAATGACATAATAGGGAAATGATCACAGGCCGTGAGGTAGGAAGGAGAGGTGGATAATGAGGAAGGGGAAGGGAGAAAGTGACACTATGGGGGATGCTCACGAGGGAAGATCTAAGGGACAGAAGAACAAAGACCTGGAAGGGAGAAAGGAGAGGGAACGGGCCCAGGCTTCGACAACAGCCATTTGATTCATCTGCTCCATTATTCCAGGAACAAGGAAGCAATCCATGAACATGGAAAGCAGATTCTGCAGCGTGCTAAAGAGCGGCCTGTAGTGGCGCGCATCCGTCACACATGACTTTACTGGGAAAGCATGCACGGAGACAGAAACACGGCAGAGCTGGGATCTGCAAGAACACATGCTAGGATAAATAGAAAAAGTTTCAGTCATCGGGCCAGGAACTCAGGTTTACTACTGCGTGACAAAGCACACTGACGGAGTCCTGATGTCGGATGTGGATGCAACCAACACTTTCAAAGATTAGGATTAGGTGGGCCATGGGTTTACCGCAATAAAGAAATGACAGGCGTAAGGGTTTGCCTATGTAATCATGTAAAGGATTTATATCAATTTACAGAAATGCCATGGAAGGCTGTTCATGCAAAGCGGACAGGTGTTTATCTTTCTTTTGGGGCAAGGAAGACAGTAAGATACATATTTTAAATTTTTAAAATTTACTCTTTGGGAACAAAACCATTCAGCTATACTGAATCTGATACTTTTTCCAATTACATTGGGAAGCACTAACGAATGTATCACTTTTTAAACTTCGCTTTGTAACACTTGAGTGCTTACCACTTGATGTGCCATTTAAAGGATAATTAATGGATAAACTAAAAGGATAATTATTATGGAGTTTAATATAGCAGGCAAACTGCTCATTAATCCTTACAAGCATGGTTTCGTTATTATCATTTACTTAAAAAGATACCACAGGGAACTGGTATTTACCACCACATTAACTACGTATTATAGACCACACTGTACGTTTCAGCACTAATCCTGGTTTATTTCAAAAACAAGCTTTATTTAAAATAGCAAATCTGTTGGCTAATCGATACTCGGGAAAATTACCCACAACTTTCACACGCGTTCTCTTCATTATTCATATGGACGCTTCCTTTAGGAAAAGCTGAGACATCTTGCAGCAGAGCGAGCCTGCACTACCAGACAGACGTGAACAATAAAGATGTACGGAACGGGATAACCAAGATGACACTAATTGAGATTGAGCAAGGTTCAAGAGACAACACAAATGTAAATAATTATGCCAATTTTCTGGGGTGTTATTTAAATAATCAATAAAAATATCTTATGGGACATCTGGCAAATAATTTGCCCTAAATAAATCCTGGATAACCATAGCTTGTCTGACATTTCTGGAAACTATGGTAATGTACCATAAAAGGAAATGTGCCAGAATGTTAACAATATTGAGTCTGGTGGCATGTTCAATGGTGACTTTTTTCTTCTATATCTTTTTCATTTACATGTTAAAAAAATCCAAGTCTTGCTGGGCAGTGGTGACGCACACCTTTAATCCCAGTAGTTGGGAGACAGAGGCAGGCAGATCTCTATGAGTTCGAGGCCAGCCTGGTCTACAAATTGATTTTTAGGCAGGACTATTACACAGAGAAACCCTGTCTCCAAAAACCAAACAATAACAACAAAACCAAAACCAAGTCTTTCTTTTAAAGGTGTAAATAACAGCGTAAGTCCATCTGCGCTCTTTCACGGCTAAAAAATTGTGACAGAAAAGAGATGCGATACAGGTCTAGCTTAAGTCTGACTTCTCAATTCCTTCCGTTAATGGTTTCTTGGTCATTTGCCTGCATGGAGGGGATGTGCATGATGTGTGGACACACATGGCAAGGCACGCATGATGCGGTCAGCGGACAACTTTATGGAGTCAGTTCCCTTTCCTTCCACACTTCAGGGATCCAGTTCTCGGTGTCAGGCTGTGCCACCAGTGCCTTTACCCAAGGAACCATCTTGTCAGCACCAAACTCTTATGTTTGTTACTTTAATCTTTAAGGATATTTCAATAAGGAGAAATTACAATAGGAAAAGTATGGATGCTATATATCTGATTTTTTAAAAAATAATATTAGGTTATTTTTTTTTATTTTTTCAAGACAGAGTCTCTCTATGTAGCCTAGGCTGACCTTAAATCTACACATCTGCCTGCTTCTACTTCTCCAGTGCTGGGATTAAAATCATGCTAGCTTTTTGTCTGTTTGTTTGAGACAGGGTTTCTCTGTGTAGCCCTAGCCCTGGCTGTCCTGGAACCCCCTTTGTAGTGAGACTGGCCTTGAACTCACTGAACTCCGCCTGCTTCTGCCTCCCAAGTGCTGGGATTAAAGGTGTGTACCACTAATGCCCAGGAGGCATGCTAGCTTTAACCACGGCTGGCTCATGATTAATATTATTAATGAGCAAATTTTTTTCCAGGGTGTATACCTTAAACCACTACTATCATCCAGGCTTCTGGCTGGGGTAGCGGAATATGCCCATCGAGCTGGTTTTATACCACAGATCTGAAAGTGCAGGCTGATAGAGAATGAGGAGGAGCTCCTTCCTCTTATCACAGCTGATATTTTACAACACCTCAAATTTTTTATTTCAGTGGAACAGAGAGAACTGAAATTTGAAGAAACCAACTTTTATTAAATGATTTCTAACCAGCAGGCCCCATAGACAACTCCTTCATATAAATGGTTCACTTAGCTTTCCCAAGAACTTAGGTGGTGGGGTTCAGCCTCTGCTTTCACAGGTCAGGACAAGCCTCAGCAACGCTGAGGAATGTCCCTCAGGTACACAACAAGGACATGAACTGGGCTGGGCCTTGGTGGTTCCAAAGCCAACAAACAACACTGCTGTGGGACAAGGGTCTTGTACCCTGTAAAGATTTGTCACTTGTATTGGTTTAATAAAATGCTGATTGGCCAGTAGCCAGGCAGGAAGTATAGGTGGGACAACCAGAACAGGAGAATTCTGGGAAGAGGAAAGGCTCAGTCTGCAGTTGTCACTCAGACACAGAGGATGCCATGAGAATGCCTCACTGGTGAGAGGTACCATGCCACATAGCTAACACAGACAAGAATTATGGATTAATTTAAGATATAAGAGTTAACAAGAAGCTAATGCCTCACTGATAAAAGGTACCATGCCACATGACTAACACGGACAAGAATTATGGATTAATTTAAGATATAAGAGTTAACAAGAAGCCTGAGCTAATAGGCCAACCAGTTTATAATTAATGTGGACCTCTGTGTGTTTCTTTGGGACTGAATGACTGCAGGACTGGGCAGGACAGAAACCTCTGTCAACACAACACTGTTTTCCCAAATGCTCACAAATCCAGAATCCTTGGAGGATAAGCTATCAGTTTAATTTAATTTATTTATTATCTAAACACTTTTATGTATGTGTATGTATCTGCAAGTATGTATGTGCCTTGCATTATAGTACCTAAAAGGCCAGAAGAGGGAGTCAGATTCCCTGGAGCTATAATTGTGCAGGTGGTTGTGAGCCACCCAATGGGATGCTAGGAACCAAACTTGAGTCTTCTGCCAGAGCATCAATGGTCCTCTTAATTGCTGACCATTTCCAACTCCAAGAATAACTTTCAAAATAGGCCTGCACAAAGATGGGGAGAGCTCATTGTGGGAACACAGGCTCATTTAATTAGGAAACCCCATAATCACACTTAAAACCTCACCCCCAATTTCAGATCCCCTAGAGTTGCATTTACCAGTGATAGCGGGCTGCCTTGCATGGGTGCTGGGACCAGAACTCCGGTGCTCTGATGGAGTAGCAGATGCTCTTAACTGCTCAGTCATCTCTTCAGATCTCTCTGTTTATTCTAAGAATTCTATAGTTTGACTCTTAAAATCAAGTGCTTGGTCAATATCAATTTGCTGTTTGTATGCATTGTGAGTAAGGGTTCAGTTTCATCATTTTGTAAGAGTATATCCAGTTGTACTGGCACCGTTCTTTTTCCTGTGGAATGGGCTTGGTACCTGCGTTGAATATCAACTGATCCTAGATGCATGACTTTTTTTTCTGGACTCTAAATTCTATGTCATTATCTTATGTTTATCTTAATGTCAATTCTGCTTGACTATTGCAGAAGAAAATTTGAAATTTGGAAATATGAACCCTCTAACTTTACTTTTATATTTTACTACTTGTCTATTAAAATTTCACATAAAAAACAACCAAAAACCAAAGCCAACAACAACAATAAAAAAAACCAAAAAAACAAAACAAACCTTACCTCCAATTCCAAGGCGTTTGAGAGTAATTTCTGGGCATTTTTTCTAAATGACTCAGTTTTCGGATCACTTCGGACTTCAATAGAAGGTCTATCCACACGTTCTTCAAAGAAAGTTTTCCACTCAGTGTGAACTTCTTTGGCGAGACTCGCCACCTCTGGGTCTGAGTGCTTGCACATCTTGTTCACAATGTGACCTAGAACAGAGAGAACAAGAAGGAAGTATAGTTCTGCCTCTGGAAAGCACTGAGGGGCACCCACTTAAGGACAATGACGACTTCTGTGCAAGCATCTGTCCATCCGCATGAAACAGACAGATGCGGGTGAAATGAGACAATCTCTGGGGGGAGCTGAACTGAACTGGCCAAGGTAGCAGGTCAGAACGAGAACGCCAAGTGTAGTAGAACACACCTCTAATCCCAGCTCTCAGGAGCAGACCTTGATAAGTTCAAGGCCAGCATGGCCTATATAACACAGTGAGTTTCAGGCCAGTCAAGGCTACTTAGTGAGACCCTGTCTCAAACGACAGGAGACAGTTCCAAAGTTGTAATAAAAGAGAATAAATTAAGCATTTATCTTTTTTGGAATCTTACTATATTTTAATTAAAAAATTAGTTGAATTTATTAAAAGAATATTCTTGATTGGGTGTGGGTGTTGCATGCATATGTGTGTAGGTGCTCAGTTGTATGGGTATGCATGGAGGCTAGAAGCTAACATCAGGTTGATGTCAGGGTGTCGTACTCAATTGCTTCTCATGATTGATTTATTTATATTGTGCGTCTGAGTGCTTTGCCTGGACGTGTGTGTATATGTGTATCATGTGTGTATCTGCTGCCTGTGAAGGTCAGGAGGAGTCAGAGTCTTTGGAACCGGAGTTACAGATGGCTGCTAGCAGTTCCCTGCAAGAGCAACAAGTGCTCTTAGCCGCCGAGTCAATTCTCTAGGCTCTCTCCATCTTCTTTTCTGAGACAGGATCTGTTACTGACCCTCAAGCTGACTGCTTCCGCTAGACTGTCCAGGAGGCCTGCGGATCCTTCTGTCTCTGCCCTCCAGCTGCCACACCTGGCTTTGTGGGCTCTGGAGACTCAAGCATAGGTCTTCAGACTTGCAAAACAAACCCTTGACCCACAGAGCCATCTCCCCTGGCCCTAAGAGAACACTTTTTATTTAACTAATATGAAAAGATTGACAGAAAACATTTTGTGGGCTCTGATGAGCAATGCGGTACAAAGACAATACCAGTGAGTGAGCTCTGCAGGGACAAGCTAACGGGGACTTTGTGAGGGTGGGGGATGAACTGACATTGTCTGTATCCTGACCCCTAGGAGTGGTCAAAGTAACTGACAGCTCTGCCTATGACTGTTTCTACAAGCTTCCCTCAAAGAAAAATAGGAACCACAATCCAACTGGCCATTCAAGACTAACTCCTAGTCTCTAGACACCTGTGACATAAGGAATAAGTTACAGTAAGAAGCAAACACATTCAGAACATGGGATGTTCCTCAAGACAACAAACGGGTTTCTTCAAGCCCATAGCACTGTTTATAAAGATTGGTTTCAGATTCTGAGTCCTGATTATCAACTGGATGTGTGATCTAAATCCTGGCCAGAAACAGAAAGGATATTGTGGAATAAACAAGAAATACGGATAAGCACTAAATATTAAATTATACTAGGAGGTTATTATTAATTTGGTTAAGCATGAAAACCACATTTTGATTACACACAAAGCTAGCTGGAGTGGTTCTGTCTCCCTTAGTATTTCCTTTGTGAGACCAACACACCACCCACTGTGCCAAGTCTCTTTATTTTGTCTTTTAAATTTTTTGACATTTATCTATTTACTGTGCTGTGTTTAGTATATCTATTTAGTGTGTTTGTGTGTGTGTGTGTGTGGGTCTTGCATTCGTGTGCCATGGGGCACATGTGGAGGTCAGAGGACAATTTATGGGAGCTGGTCCTCTTCCTCCACCATGTGGGTCCCTAGACCAAACTCAGACTCTCAGGCTTGGTGACAAGGACCTTTAATTGCTGAGTCATCGCTCTACCCTGTATTTTCCCTTTTAAATAACTTCTCCCCAACATAAATTTGATTATTTCACTCTTCTATCTAAACCCTTAAATCCTACAGCCAAGCTCTTTCACGTGGGTCCCTTCCCAACCTGCCATCTTTCCCTACTTCCTAGCTTCATTGCCAGCTGCTTCTGGTCATCCGACACCAGCTGCTTGTAGCTTCTAAAATGCTTGAATATTCTTTCTTGTCTCTTTACGTATATATCCCTATAAGCATTCTGTCCACCTGAAATACTCTCCTTGCCCTTCAGCTGGCTCAGCCCCCAGGAAGCCTTCCTGAGCTCCCGCAGCTTTGCTGACACCCTGCCCTGCACCTGTGCTCACCACAGGGCTCCCTAGTGCACACTGCACCTATCTGTCAGTCACCTCTTGCTCACAAGGGAGCTTCTTGAGGGGTACATTCTTCTTTGGGTCTCCATCAGCAGGCACAGGCTGGCTGAGACCCACCAGCAGGGCCATATGTATTTGACTTAAGCACTGAACAGAACACACGAATGAAGGGGACTGTATTACATGAGGCGATGGAAACACCAGCAGAGAAACTGACTTGCAAACTGAGCATGGCAGCATAAGCTTGTGAAATTAACGCTCAGGATTGGTGGCAGGACACTGAAGTTTAAGGTATCCTTGGTTACATCTCAGGTTTGAGACCAGCCTGTGCTATGGGAGACATTATTGAAAACAACAACAACAAATAAACACAAGCCCCAAAACCCAAAAGAAGAGCCTATAGATTTAACAGGCTCTCAACTAAAAAAATCTCAGTGGATATTTTTTATTAGAACACAACCAACGATTTCTACATTTAATTTTGCAACGATGCTGCACAAGAGTATAAAACACTATTTTGAAACAGAGGGGCTAACCTGCTACAGACAGCCTTCTGAGGTATCAGAACACATTATAAAGCAACATTACTTAACATTACACATATCAACTCTAAAACGAATGGATAAATTTATGAAATAAAAATGAGGCTCAGAAACATATATTTAAGAATCTAAAGTTGGGTGCAGAGGCACATGCCTGTAGTACTGGCTACCCAGGAGGCTGAGGCAGGAGGATGGCCACTTAAGCCCCCGAGTTTAAGGTCAGTTTAGGTAACACAGTCAGATCCTATCTGAGAGAGAGAGAGAGAGAGAGAGAGAGAGAGAGAGAAGGATGGACTTAATACGTGATAAAAGGGTTATCACAAACAATGGGAAACATATTTAAACTAGGGAAGCAGTCAGATCAATTCCCCAATTATGCCAAATGTCCAGCCCGACACTGCTTGATTCACCATTCTCTGCCAAAGGTCATGTGTACAAGATTCTGTGCCAGGCACTAGTCATGCTGGGCTCGAAAGAAACTATCCTCACTTCTAAAAAGTTCTGTGAGCAGAATTCTGGAGATGAAAACCAAGTGAGGCTGAAGAGATAATGGCGACGTAACAGCGATTGTAACTTTCCGCTCTAACCAGTTATGAAGGGGCCTTCTCAGCTGTCTTCCCGCTGACCAGGGAGGAAAGCAGACACGTCATACCAGGAGAAGAAACAGCTCTCACTAGCCATGCCTGAAGGTGTTTCCCAGTTAACAAATGCTCAGGAAAGCGCTTTTGAAACCACATAACTACGGGCAGAGCTCACTCCCGGACTCTCCTTCTAAAGAAAGGTTCTCGTGTCTTCGAGATCAGCCTCCCAGCAGACAGCTCTTCACGCTGCCTGTGGATCGGTGCTGTGGATGCTAAAGACACAAAGATGGCGGCTAAGGGTTTGACTAACTGGGGATGCATGTGTTTGGAATATTCCAGGCTGTAGCTGCAATTTCCGGCACCAAAATGAGAAATACATAAAAATACAAAGAGAAAGGAGACATTGCCAGACCCAGGCGCTGTGACAGCTACAGCGCCTTTGCCTCATGTCCAGCCCTGGGGACAGCTGGGCAGGTGACAATCCTCACGGTCAGCCTATACTCACCCTGTCAAAGGAACAGAAACATTCACCTTGGCGCTGTTTGAAGTCGGGAAGAGCTAGGAACAACCTATGAGCTCATCATCAAGGGTCCACTCACTAAAAATTACAGTACGTTCCCACAGTAACAAGAGTACAATAGCTACAAACTGGAATAAGTGAACTGTGCACGCCGGTACCACCTGCAGCCCAGCACTCAGAAGGTAGAGGCAGGCCTGGGCTACAGAGTAAGACCCTGTCTCAAAAAAAAAAAAAAAAAAAAAAAAGAAAGAAAGAAAGAAAGAAAAAAATCCACACTGCAAAACCCCTAAAGAAAGAAACAGAAAATATTAAACACGTAGAAAGTTCTACATGTAGAGCCATTAAGATGCCAGTCATGTAAAATCAGTAGAAGAGTATGTTCGGTGTGAGCCAATATTTATTTTAAAAACTACATATGTAGATACATATAAACACCATATTTGTTTATATGCAGACAAAAAAGTCTTACAGAATTTACCATAAAATTATTAACAGAGGTTCTTCTGAGTGGCATCAAGAGGCGGCATATCACGCCCCTAACAGCAGCAGCGTGTGGGGACAGGGCCTTCCCACCACCTGGTCCTCACCACATTTTCTGCTCTCCTAGAAGAGGTGTCACTCTCCAGTCCGGTGTCAAATCCAGGGGCCTTCTCAGCCTCTCTGAGGCACCTGAGACGGGGACCCCCTTCCTTCTGAACTGTCTTCTACCAATCCTTTTTGGACACCATCTGTCCTGTACAGGGAACGTGCTCACCGCAGATGCTGAGTAACCCTTACTAACTTGAGGACCCCAGCTGGGCACTGTCCACGGCTTCTTTTTCTACCTGCCCGGCCCAGGTAATCTCATTTGCTCATGTGGTCTGACCTCCACCTGCAGATGTCTCCCAAGTGTGTGTCTCTAGCCAAAGGCCCCTGGGTAAGGGGCCGTGTCTTCAGGGTCTTACTAGACACCTCATTCTAAAGTACCCCAGACTCAACATTACTGCTCACACAATAGTAACACATGCTCCCCTGTGCTCTCACTCCAAGATACAGGTCCACTGCTTTAACACTTCCTGCACCCCTTCCTCTTCTTCTGCCCCCTCCACTTCTATTGCCCTGACTCACACTCTCATAGCCTCTCCCTGGGTCTACTGCAATAGTTAAATTA